AAAAATCAAGTAATGTCATGAGAATTAGGTAAAACCCAACGTTAAATAATGAGTTCCCCAATTGGCTGGCAAAGACAATAGGTGTAAATTAGAAGACTTGAGAAATCTTACTGAGAATATCACCAACATCGAACTTGTTAGCAGATGCCCAAGTGACATATTGTTGCCCAGATTGTGGAATGGTCCAACCTAAGCTATCTCCCACCACATGCACTGTCTGTGCTGCTTGATGGGTATATTTTATATTATATATTTAACCTCATTCTTAGTATATTTTGGTTAATATTTTGGAAGAATTTTGATACTTTGAATTATATTTCCAATATAGGACTTTCGACTTCCTCTGGAGCAAAACATAATCAAATAGACGAATTTTGGAGTAATTCCAGTTAGAGGATGTTCGTGAGTCACTTGGCTTGATCGTATCAAAATTTCATATTTTTGTACTAAGCGGTTATTTTCTGGTAATAAAATAAAGGAGTAGTGCACAGTGTTGAAATAGTGACGTTTTGGGATTTTATTGTGTTTTTGGAGCCCAAGATGACATTGGATGGGTCGTGACCTTCTAGAGAAGTGTTCAGAATATTTTTATCTTTAAAACGAGCTATCTTGGGCCAGATTTGGAGAAGATTTGAGGCCAAAACGTGGCTGACCAGATTGTAGGCAGATTCCAATTTGGACTTTATTTCCTAATATTATTTTATTTTACTTAGTTTCCTTGTGGGGATTGGGCAGCTAGGTTTTAGGAGATATTTAAGCTCTTTCTCACAGGACTTCCTTTTAACTTCTTTTTGGCTTTTGGAGCAATTGCTAGGGTTTTGGATTTTTGCGACTTTCAGGTGTTTTCATTCTTATTCACTCGAATGATATTTTCTTGGATTTCAATTATGAATATGTGTAACTAATTCTCTTTTGCTAGGGCGAGGCCATAAGCCTCAGCATGAATATGTAATTTTATTAATTGGCTTATGAATGATGCATGTTTGTTTTGAATTATTAATCAATGCGTTTAAAACTATCTATCTATTTTAATGACTGAGCACCATTAGGATATATAGACAGTTAATTTGATGCAATTTCTGTTGGAACATCACCCTGAAATTGAGGATGGTTTCTTGTGGTTAGTAGTTGTAAGTTCACTTAAGGCGAACATCACTCTCTTAAGGGTTGCATTGTTTTTCAAAGGGTTTTCACAAAGTTTAATGAGTCTTGCATGTTTATATTTGATCTAAACATCACAGACAGATTGCATGTTAGATATACGTTTTCGCTTGAATATCACAAGGAAAATATGCATTAGGAAAACCTAACCTTCAAAGCATATATGTGGAAATTCATAAGTAATTGATAGAATTGCATAAGATTGTGACGGTGATGGCTAAACCCTAGTTTTCTCTAAATTGTTAGTCTTTGAAAAGAAAACGTCTTTCCTCTTTGCTGTTATTATTTCCCAACTTTCAGATTTCTTTTATTGTTAATTTACTCTTTTCAATTTCATAAACTTCAAATTTTTTATCGAATCTATTTTAGTTATTAATTAAGAGTTAGTTTAATTACAAATTAGTAAACAATCTTTGAGGACAACGACCTTGCATGAGCATCTATACTACAATAACCTTGTATTCTTGCAAGTATTTTATGTGATTTTAACTCCATTTGTGCAGGTACTAAAAATCCTATCACTACTACACATTGCACAAACACGGCCATCAAGACACCAAAAACAACCACCATTTTGCTCTCCATCTCTCCCTCGCTCTCTCTCTCTCTCTCTTTGGAGTCGAAGAAAATCAAAAGGCAATAAGAGTTGCTATGGTCAAAGACGCGGCCGCGGCTGGAGGACAAGAGGGTACATGCAATGCATGACCAGGCATGCACCGACAAGAACGTATGCCGGTCATCTCAAATTGTATGCCTTTTGCATTTGTTGTTGGGAGTCCAATGTGTGAAACCAAGACCCAAAGTGGAATATTCCAACCCTTCTACTTTTCTACGTGGAGTTGCATAGAAGTTGGTCTATTCAATCATGCTTGAGTCTACTTTACTCATATAGTAGGTAACAATCAATGCAATTCGAGAATAAATAACTTTGATGATTTGGTTGTTAATATAATTATAATTTATTCTTTTTATTAATTGGGAAGGGGATTCGAATTTGGAATATTTTTTATTTATTTTGGATACAAGCGATTAGAGGACCTTAGGTGCAGGGGAGATTCGAACACATAGTTGCTTATAATCATTCCTGAAATTAAGTGATTATAATTACAAATTATTGGTTAATTTAAGAAGTATCTTTGAAATTATAAGGGTTTAACTTAGAATTTATATTATTGTTTTGAAGAATTCTAGTCATTGCATGTTTTGTTGTCCGATGTATTCCAATCAGTTTGTTACCAACTTAAACCTTGAAATTCTTCTTCCCACAAAAGAAAAAACCTCAAAATTCCACGATTTTTAAACCCTTACATCAGGTTTACTATGTTGCTGAAATGCCCTTTTAATTGTTTTTCTTATGTTTTGAGCTCATTGCTCTCTTTTACACGAGCTCTGTTATATGCGAGCTCTGAACACGTCTCCGAGCTCGCTTTTGCTGGATTCACGATGATGAGCACCAATTCATGAAGGTTGGGCACCTCTTAGCTACAACGACGAAGAAGCTCATAGTGTTGTGTTCGTTAATGTGTAAGCTTCAGTTGCAGCTTACAGTGTTGGGCGCAGCTGTAATTAACCCTACATTTCTGCACTTGACCAGGTGACAAATCCCCATATTCAAGCTAGGGGAGATAGCGGCGACGCCTACATCGTTGACATGAAACTTTTCGAGGCTATAGCTTGTAGAAGCTTTGCCGTTATCGCCAGAGGACTGAAGAGCTTCAGAGTCCTTGGAGCCAATTATAAGAGGACAAAAAACGTTGTCCATTCTGTAGGTCGTTGAGGTGAGAGTGTTTGGTTTAGTGTTTTAGATATGGTTTCAATTCTTGTATTGAGATCGAAAGCATATCGAGGTGGTTTGTGATTTTGAATTGTCTTAAAGTTGTGTATGATGCAAGTTGCAAGTTCAATTCGGCTATGATTTGGTTTTGAGAGTTTGCGACTCTCGAGTTTGAGTTAAATTTTGTGACCGATTTATTAGTATTTAAGTTGGAACACATGATCTGTGGCTTGCAATCTTTCTTTTGCTATCAAATCCCTTAGCATAATTTTCTTGACTTACAGGCAACTTACCTTTTGATAATAAATCTGTAATCCCGAGAAATAAGTAAGTCTGCCCATGAATCATAGACTCAAGTAGTAGAGGATTGGAAAAGAGGATCAAAGCAGAAGCAAAACCTAGCCATGACCTGGTACGATCATAACAGGACAGAAACTAAGATAATTTACAGAAAGAAAACAAAGAGAAAATAGATAGAAAGCTAGAGAGAAAAAGATGATATTCTGTTCTTGTATTTCAGAAATGATATCAAATTACAAGAAAATCTGAGCTTATATATTCAGTAGAAAGCTTACAACATATGCATAACCAACTATATTCCTTAATTTGGCAATCATGGAGCAGCACAAGACCATACTCTACCAATAATCCTGTGTTAACCTTGGTATTTGGTGTAGATGTATCCTTCATAACTGTATTTGAAGACATCATGCTTTCGAATTCCCCCACACCGAATTAAAAAAAAGGAACGTTATTGATATCTTCATTTCATGTCACACAATATTACATAACAACTCTTGATTTGACCTTTTTACTTGAACCGCCTTTATCACGGGCCTTCCACATGGAACATACGGTTTAGGTTACACCATAATTATTAAACTCGTAAGTTTCAAATGAGCACGAACCCCTCTGTCATTCCATGACTTTGATATAGAAGCTTCCTCGTGGCAACATGAAGACACTTCTTACAATTGCATAGAAGTTGCGTAGAAGTTCCAACCCTTCTACTTTTCTACGTGGAGTTGCATAGAAGTTGGTCTATTCAATCATGCTTGACTCTACTTTAGTCATATAGTAGGTAACCATCAATGCAATATTAATTCGAGAATAAATAACTTTGATGGTTTGGTTGTGAAGTTAATTATAATTTATTCTTTTTATTAATTGGGAAGGGGATTCGAATTTGGGACATTTTGTATTTATTTTGAAAACAAGCGATTAGAGGACCTCAGGTACAAGGGAGATTCGAACACATAGTTGCTTACAATTATTCCTGAAATTAAGTAATTATAATTACAAATTGTTAATTTAAGAAATATGTTTGAAATCATAACGGTCTAACTTAGAATTTATATCATTGTTTTGAAGAATTCTAGTCATTGCATGTTTTGTTGTCCAAATGTATTCCAATCAGTTTGTTACCAACTAAAACCTTGAAATTCTTCTTCCCACAAAAGAAAAAACCTCAAAATTCCACGATTTTTAAACCCTTACATCAGGTTTGCTGTGTTTCCGAAATTACATTTATGCCCTTTTAATTGTTTTTCCTCTGTTTTGAGCTCAGTGCTCTCTTTTACACGAGCTCTGTTACATGCGAGCTATGAACACAAGGTGGGCGTGCTATTTGTGGGAGTTGTTATGTAAGATTCGAGTTGTACCCCTTTATATCAAGCTAGACAACCATATGTGGATTGCATTCAATGTGCAAATTAAAAGTTATTTTAGGTACCACAGTTTAGCGAAGGAAAACTGAAGAACGAATTATGCTAGCTAGCTCTTTGTATGACAAATTGTTACGGATTGTGCAAAACCAATCTATTCTTATGAATGTTTCATTTGATTGGTATTTGTATTAGCCTGTTTCAAATGAAGGCAAAATCCATTATTGACATGTATCATATGTGTGGTTAGCTTGCTATTGGATTATCATTCAGGTCTCAACACATTAATTCACCACCGCTAATTTGAGTAGGCAATTAACTGATCACCAGCAAAGAAACAAAAATGCATACTTGATTATGGCAGAGATCGAATTTTCAACAGAGGGAGTTCCTTTATTGATAATGCAGTCAAACAAACATCACGATTTGATTATATGAAAAAATCAGGGATAATAACTTCCCTTATATCTCATACCAAAAATTATACTAAACATCAAAATTAATGGATCCCCAAGATAATAATAAAAATTGGTCCATCTCTTGAGGTCTTCAAAAGAACAAACCCATGACAAGAGCCAAGGACGACAAAAAGAAACTAGCGAAAACAGCCCCGGATGAAGAAGCCGGTGGGGGCGGTGGAGGGGTGTTCACAGTGGGGTCAGTGGAGGAAGGTGATGGTGCTGCCACTGGAGGAGGACAAGCAGCAGGGTGGTTTGACGTCGGAGAAGGTGTAGTAGGAGGAGAGTGAGCAGCAGGAGGTGGAGGAGGCACAGAAGGTGGTGAGGCTCCTGGGGCGGTAGCTGAGCCTGAGACGGTGATTGCCAGCTTCTGCCCTGACTGGCAATGGGAGCCCAAAGTGCAGATGAAGTAGTGCTCGCCGGCTGAGGTGAGCGTGACGTTTGCCGGGCCAGTTGTGATGGTAGAGCCGATTGCGTTGTCCGATCTGCATGAGTCGAATGATGCTTTGGGTACTTGTAGTACATCGTGTGCGTTGGTGGTGAAGTTGAAAACTGAAGAATTCTTAAGAAACGTTTAGGGTGAGAAGAGAGGTAAGTAATTTTTAAGAAAAAAAATAAACTAATACTTTTTTGAGGACCTTTTCTATTGAGAAGAGTAGCAATAGTATACTAAATTCACACACATTATACAGATGCTAGGACTCGAATTCAGGACATTGCTTGAGAGAGTAAATACTTCAAACCACTACACTAGTAAATCCTTTATAAAAATAAACTAATACTTAAGTTATTAATCTAAGGGTAATTTAAAACTCCGTCTATATATACAGAGGGCGGAGCCACAGCAAGGCCTGCCATGGCCCTGACCTCCCATTTAATTTATTATAAAATATATGATATAGCAATACAATTACTGCAATTAGATTAGCGATGACGCCCTCTTAATTGAAGATGAAAAATATATGTGGAAGTGATTTTGAAATTTTGGCCCCTCCATGCTAAGAATCCTAGCTCTGTTACTATATAAATATATATATATATATATATATATATAATCGCCTTAGGATCTAGGAAGAAAAGAAGCTGATTGTAACTTAATAAAAAAGAGAGAGGTTGGAAAATCTTACACAGAATATCGCCAACCACGAACTTATTGTTATCAGCCCAATTGACGTACGCTTGGGCGCCGCCAGATGGTGGAATGGCCCAACCTATGCTATCTCCCACCTCGTGAACTTTCTGTGCTGCCACACTTTGCAAGAACATTGATACAACTAAGCCAAAAACGATCAACATCTCTCTCTCTCTCTCTCTCTCTCTCTCTCCCCGTACAAAATCGTGCTGTATGTGGTACGTGATCACTGAGAAGAATTGCAAGGATGCAAGAAATATTGGTGCCTATAAATACAGAAGAGCGACAACTCAACTTACAGAAGAAGTAAGAAAGAATGAAGAAAGACTTGTTAATTGGTGGGGAGTCTTGGACGCGGCAGCCTTGACGAGGAACATATAGCAATTGCAATTAATATGCATGTGAACGCCGGTCCTCTTAAAATTTGTACGCTTTTTTCGGTGGAAAGTTCCAGCCACCTATTTTTCTAAGTTCCATGTAGAAAAGACTTTTCCGTCATGCTTGACTTTCTATAACTAGTAGTATGTGATAACTGAATTTGCAAAACAACTATTTGAATTTCGGATGTGAATATAAGAACTATTATTTCATTCGAGAAATTAATGGTTTGAAGAGTAATCTTTTGGCATATTTAGAAGAGTCCAATGTCCATGGAGACTCGGTCCTCTATGGAAACTTCCAAATTTCCAGGATTTGGAAACTTAGGTGCCTTGATGTTTTAATTAAGAGAGTTTTACTAAAACACCCAAAATGGGGGTTGAAATTATAAAAAAATCCAAGCACTATTTAAACATATAAATACACCCAAAACCCATCATTACACACACTCAAAACTCATTTATAAACATACCCAAAAAGTTGACTTTGGGGTTGATTTTAGGTATGTTTCTATGTTTAAATAGTGCTTGAGTTTTTTTATAAATACATGTCTACGATTGGGTTTATTTATAAATTTGTATTTAAGTAATTAAATACAATTCTTTAAGGCTACTATCATAGTGAATTAATACAATTACGTGGTTTGATAACCATTTCAAATTTTCTTTTAGTTTTTATTTTTTGTGTTAGAGTCCAGAGTAAAATGAGAGTGATAATGGGAGTGATATTGAGAGAGAGGATGAGAGAGGAGAGGATGGGAGAGAGGAGTAACAAAAGTGAAAATTATTTAAAATAGATTTCAGTTTTTAATTTTTGTTTTCACTTTTGTTACTCTTCCCTCTCATCCTCCACTCTCATTTTCCCTCTCAATCTCATCTCCACTCTCATTCTCACTTTCATTATCCCTTTTTTTTTCCTCTATACTCTAGCATAAAAAATGAAAACTACAATTGTGTTGTGCGAAAATACTCCAAGGCCTTGTTGTTGATGGACTACGCAACTACCACACACAAGCCACGCAAAGATAAAGCCCAAAAAGTAAACACATACATAAAGCACACAAGAATTTCCCAAGTGGGCTCCGCTCATCGAAGTTCTTCTTACGGCCTCAGCTTCGCTCAAGGCTCGTAGGAAAACAAATTCCTTCGTTGTAATCTCCCAAGCGGGCTCCAAAGTTGATGACATTAGCACCCTCATGCACGGCTCAGAGATGTTTAAGATCTGGGTGGTCAGAGATGTTGGTTGTAGGTGGCGGCAAGGTTTAGTTGGGGGTGGTTAGAGATGTTGGTTTGATTTCTAATTTCTTTTATTTTTTATGTTTCACCCAACTTCGCCGTTAAGGGCGTCATCGCGAGTGACACTTCTTGGTTTCAGTGGTGCTTGTGGTTGGGGGGGGGGGGCGAGGTGTAAGGCCATGTCCAACCCAAGGACCTAAACTCCAAATATCCCAAATTATTGCCCAAAACCTCTCCCAACCCAAGAAAATGAAGGACCCAAAATTTGGGAAAACCCAAATTTGGACCCAAATACCAGTCCAAATTTTTCCTGGGCCCAAAACTATTTAGTGGAGACCACGTTGAGGTGGCACACCTCATGTGCATGAGAAAAACACCAGGACTCGTGCTAGGACCAGCTCTGGTGGGTTTGTCTGTTGCCCATGCCACGTGTCTGCTCGTGGTGAGAGAGCCATTGCAATTCCAATGTCTCATTCTTTTCTTTTTTTTAATATTTAAAATCTAATAGTATCTTTAAAAAGAGACTGGGCCCACAGACTGGCTTTATTCCAGCGCAAAGTGGCGTTGCAATTCAAATATTCTTATTATTATTTTTTTAAATTCTAATAGTAATTCAAATATTCTTATTTCAATCCTTATTTTGTGTTTCAATTATGTTGTGTATTTTTTTTTTATGTTGTGTGTTTACTTTTGGAATAAAATTAAATTTATGGAATTTCAATTTTTTTTAGTTCAAATTGTCCAAAAAATTAAATTATGATGTTATTTAAAAAGATTAAATGAAGAAAAGTTTTTCAAAAAAAAAAAAAATTAGACTTAAACCATTCTTAAACAATTTAATAAAGTTGCAGACTTAAAATTTGAGTCCAGAGGGTTGGGAGAAAAAACAATTTGAGTCCGGGCAAAACCCAAATAGTCACTTTTTGGAGGAAGAAAATTTGGGTTTAGCCCCTCATTAGTTTGAGAAGGCCTAAGGTGAACGAGGGGGAGGGAATGGTGGTTAGGGTATTTGAGAGGGTGGCTATAGAGAATAGTGGGGTGATTCAGGAAGGGAGGAGAGAAGTAATTGAATTTATAATTTATTAAATTATTTAAAGGTAAATCATTTTTATTATTTGTTTGTCCATGTTGGAGATGGGGCGCACTAGGCCACATCACCCAGATTGGTGTGAAATAACCCATATGTTTGAAATGACCATAATATCAATGTCATGTAATCAATTTTAACAAATTTTTGGATGGAGTTAACAGTAAAAGTCAAAGTAGAATGCCAAAACTTGGTAAAGGAGACAAACTGAGTTACTTTGACTTTTAGAGAGTCAAGTGAGATTTGACCATAATTTCAAGGGCACTACAATAAATAAGCATTTAAAAAGTGCATAAAGTATGTGCATCATTTGAAAAGTGAAGTAGTTTTTAGTGAGACCATATATGATTATTTATTGCAATTGAAAACGATTGTATTTTGCTATTTGTTTATCTTTAAGAGGGAAATCGAACTTAACACCTCATTATTCAATATTCTGAAAGAAACATACCAGTATAATTAACTAGTTTTTTTTTTTTTTTTTTTTAAAAAAGGATTTTGATTTGAGCATAAGGCTAAATTTGCTACAATATAAGAACCACATTCAATTGAAGCTATTTGGAATAACTACATGTAGTGCATTTGAAATGATTATATAAAAGGAATCATTTGAAATCCATTTCCTTCTTGCTTAAATCCTGGCATACATGAATTGTACTAGTCCAAACAAACAAGTTTACTTTATAATGTCATCTAGATCAGTATATTTGGAATCCTTCCATTCAAATGGAGCCTACAATTTATTAGTAACCAAACGAAAGGCCAAATCTAGTTCGTTTGATTTGTTTCAATTCATGAATTCCCTACGTTTATTAACACATAAGAAATCATAAAATATGCGAGCCTCTTTAGTTTTTAGATTCCGATAATAAGATTATTTAAAATTAAGTATAAGTTGTGGGGTAGCCAAAATAGGGCAACAAATAAAAAAGAGAGACAGAGAGTATTGCAAACTGCTGGAATATTATTTGTTAAAAAAAGCCGTCAGGAATTGTACTGTTAATGAATTACAATGAATCATAATGTAAGAAAAGAAAATGAATTGGCTATACATGGAGAGATTTTACAACATTAGGAACCTGAAACACTTCCTTCAGCTGTTGATCATAAGCCTAATTATCATGTTAACATTAAAAACAGAACAGCAGCACAACTTGTGAAAACCCACGTATGTGAAGATTGAAACCAGCCTCGAAGTCCAAGACCCTGAAACCCAACATTTTAGATAAATGATTGAAACAAACACACACTGGAAAATCAGAGAACTGTTTGACAATTATATGAAACTCATACCTTGTAATTAAGGAGAGATGAGGATGCTGCAGAAGGACCTACAAGTCCAGTGAACCCAATGTCATAAGAAATGCTCCCATCAGCTTTGAACAAACCGAAGTTCCTCTCAGACGTTGGCCCCGGCTTCAAATTCTCATTGAACAAAGCAAAGATGTAAGCTTTTACTACCGTCTTTGGCCTATGAGGTGTCCCCTTCTTCTTCGTTAGCCGTTTACGTAAGTTGTAGTTGTAAGTCCTGGCATTTTTGGGATCTGCTCCTGCTTCATTTTGGTCACCTTTAGATGCCCAACCGGTTTCAGAAACAATGACCTCTGTCTTCTCAAATCCAGCCTTCTCCAGAGCAAAATAAGCTGCATCAACCATGGCGTCGAACATGTTGTCGTAGTGCAGGTTAGTCTTTGTGTCCTGAATCCCAGCATTTTTCTTAAAGAGAGCATAGTTGAGGTCAATGTGCTCAGGATCACTCTTGTAGGCCAGAAATGGATATGCATTTATGTAGAAAGGGGAATTGATCTGTGAGAAGAACTCCAAAAGCGGCTTTATGTATTGAGCAACATCTTCCCTGAAAATGCAGGCAGATGGTGGGTAAGAATTGGCAAACACAGCCTCTGAATGTGGACTTGAGACCTCAATGGATTTCGCCAAACCAAGCCTTTGAAGCGCGCTGTAAACGTTCTTGGCAGCAGGCAACAAGGCCTCCCAGAGTTCCACATCAGCGCCCCCCAAGATCTCATTCCCCACTGCTATTCCGGAAATGTGAGTTCCAGGAATGTATGGCTGCACATTTTCATTTATCCAATTCATGGCGCGATCCTCGGCTACACTGATGTCTTTCAGGTACTCATTTCCAAGTCCAACAATTATTTGAATCCCCGATCCCTTGAACGCGGTGAGGACTTCGTGATCAGCGTCGTATATCCTGATGTTCTTGATCTTTGCGGCTTTGAGAAGCGTTACCACACTGTGAGGTGAAGGTATATTGTCAGCGATCCGGCCATAGTTTACTCCATATGTTCCTGTAAAAGATGCATCCACTGAACAGAAAGATACAAAGGTTCATCAGACAAAGACTGTTCTCCAAATACTTCAACAAACATAAGACACATGAACACATAATTTAACATTTAAAAATATTAAGCAAATTAGAAGAGAAAATAAGAAGAAAGCAAATGTTAAGTCAATATAAGTGACCATACAATTCATCGAAAAGCCTACTTGACATTAAAAGTTCAGCAAATAGTGGAAGAAGTAGTTACCATTGAGAAATGTAGTTGTGGAGAAGACAAGAAGGAAACAGAGATAAGAGAGCTCCATTTGTTTTCTGGTTCTACTAACAATG